GTGCTTAGCTTGGACTGACACGCAAGGAGCAACGTGGTGCCCTGAACGCGTTAGCTATGGTTAGGCGTTTCGCGCGCGGCAGCCAGGGCACATCATTGGTTGGGGATTTTAGTCGAGTCCGTACGATCCCCTTTTTTGGGTTGGTACGACCCTCCTCCGGCCCGGCCCTCTGTCCCTCCTCATCGAATCGAGCCGTCGAGCGGGCGGGGGGGTAAATAGCACATGTGAAACAGGAAAAGCCGCGAGACAATACGACCCTCCCCCCCCCCCTCCCAACAATGAGCAAGTACGACCCCCCCCCTTTTTTACAACGTCCGTGAAGCGAGAAAAATCAACTATCAAAATAAATTTTTCTCAGCCCAAATACGACCCCCCCCCGCTCTATTGGGGATTCCCCAACAACGATGTGCCCTGGCGGCAGCGCAGCTAGACGGCACCCGGCTACCACTACCCTCCAGTCCTTTCCGTGCACTTTTGAGCGAAGAATGTGACACGATACTGCAGCTGCGAGGACCAGGACCCACGCCAATGAGTGGTCCACAGTTTGTCTCTAACTTGCCATATGCTCAAACTTGACAACAATGATGATAATGTAACCAAACTCTCTTGAGTTTGGCTACCTCCTTCCCGTCAGCATTGGTAAGGATACCCGTATTTGACTTTACTTCGCGCCCTGTGAGATGGGATACGGTAAGTACTTCACGTCTATAAAGTTTATAGAATAAAACGACGACTCCCCAGAAAACGAGCTAGAAGAAAAGCTAAGAAAGTGTATCACAATACCACATCACTAGTGAACCACTTACAGAGCTTTTTGGACTCGCGTAGCTTCGACAGCGCGCGACGATAATCTGCAAGAAACTCCCGGATAAAGGCGAGGAATACCTATAATGTCAGAGATTATATGAACCTTTCATTGCCAGCATGCGGGAATTGGTGTTATTATAAATTTTTTCGCTAAACACGTGAATGGAATAAATGCGAAAGGACAGATCAAATTAGACCTACCTCCCAAAAAGCTGGCAAAGACTTGTTAGCTTTCAGCTTGTCTGCGAAATCCACAATTTCGTGAACTGCCACGTGCGTTGAGAAGTACGGTTTCGCAATATTTATTAACTGCAATGATTAACTTTCTTGTGAAATAAGTAGGTAGGGTGCCTCAACATTGTTCGTAAAGCGTAATCGACTGCCTAGATAGATGGGCCTTCAACAGAATACCAACGAATCACCCCGACACAACCGACTTTTCCCCGCCTTAGGCACGTTTTATAGCTTTAGTTGGAAGGCAACAACGCTATTATTTCTGACTATCGATCGAAGGTGTAAACCTCTCCGCTACTCTCATGAGTGCAAGGTTTTGCGAAAGTTTGGTGAGAGAGTAGAGTGGATGGACACCTCCCTCGTAATACGCACCCGCACCCCGTTCCAGAAAATATTCCAATGTGGCAAAGTGGACACTCTGGATCTTTACATCCAGAGTGTCCGTTTCAGTTGTTTAGCTGTATGGTATGGACAACGCATTTGGTTCGCTATCTGCTTCTACACCGGGCTCCATCATTGTGCCTACAGAATCCGTAGACTCGACGTGCTGAATACCAGGACCTTTGATGAATAGCTTGACTTGTAGAATACAGGTGTAGAAGCAGATAGCGAACCAAATGCGTTGTCCATACCATACAGCTAAACAACTGGCATCTTCCGTCGGACAGTCTCCAGGAGCCTGCTATGGACTCACTCTTGGAAACAGGGTACACCATCGTTGGGAGAATCCCATCAGGAGGGTCGTACTTGGTCGCTAGTGACCTGGGGAGGTCCCTATTTTCTTGAAAACACTCTTTCCAAGGCGCGAGTGACTTTTTCCGGCTGTTGCACATTTTTGGAGGAAACCAAACCACATTTTTGGAGAGAACAGAAGAAAGAAAGAAAATCATTTGGAATGTTGTCAAGAAGTGGTTGGAAGGTGGGGACGTAGAACGTTAGTAGGTGTGAAAGGAAGGGTTGTATTATATGACGAAATTCTTGAGAGAGTCGTACTGACGCCATTTCACACATCACGATGCTGCACTCTGCTTGGAAACCACGTAGTTGCTCCAGGCTGATGGCCAAATAGTGTAGATTTTCTTAAGCTCGCTCCCATGATGGATGTATATCACTTTCTCGTGGCGGTGGAGGCAGTGGTGGGGACCTACTCCTGCTCCTAGAGGCACACCCGGAAGCTAAATAACCTTGAGTATCCGAACAATTGATGCCGCTTTGATAAAGCTTTACAATTGAAGTGTCACCAAATGCGTTGAACTATGATACTGGTCTCAATCCTTGTAAAGGGTGCACGCATATGTGTTATGGAAGGTAGTACGGGCATACTGACGGGATGCACAAAGTGATAATAGTTGACAGGTGCTGGTAAAAGGGGTGAAGGTGACTGCGACCACATTCATGGTACATTTTTGCAGCAACAATGGGAGCGTGGCTCTGACAAATGACATAGTGGATGGTACAGAGACATTAACGACGGGCTGCAGAGAATATTTCCCAATGATTAGGGCTGGCGATTGGCAAACCAACGCCATCAAAGCTGCAACGCTAGCCGCTACAGTGCTAGTGCTTTGAATTGCTAATTAAGTAACATTTGACAGCAATGTGGCACCTATTTTTGTGCGCAGATAATCTTGGCTTAACAACGGCACTCACATGCTCCTCATTGTAAAGGGAACGTGGGCTGTTGCCGCAGAACTTGTAGTTTCGATCTATTACTATACTGTCGTTACAAGTGCTGAATAGCGGCTGATCAGCATTCGACCCGTCTTCGCACACGTCTATGAAGGCAAGTAGATGGAAGACAAGACGATCGTCGTTCAAAATGTATTGTTCACCACTGAAATACAAAGATTCAACGACAATAAATACTTAAACAATTCTGATGATCGAATAAAGGTGTACAATTATTCTGAACCGAGGATACTAGATATACATCACCAGGCATGGTCTTTGCTGATGCGCTTTCAGCAGCCCCAGATCTAATCCTCTTAACCTCCCCCTGCTACATCAGTGCTACAGATGAACAAGTAACTTATGTCGCTACTCCAGGTGGCTCCATGCGCAATTGGGGAACTAAACGAGGAACAAAAGCCACCGCGTACTGCTTTAGGACGCAGATGAATCAAAGGGATCAACTTTTTGTCTTCGGTTCGCTGAATCGATTGATACATTCCATCTCCGCTAGGCCTACCCATGTGCGCGGTTCGTATGCGTGTGAGCAGTTGGTATGCTGCAAAAGTTGCGTTCGAGTATCTGAGTGGCCAAAATACGCAGGCGCAAAATGTGACATGTGGGATGAGCAATCAAGCATGGAAAAAGAGAATGGGAGCCCTAGAGGGAGGTCTAAGTGCACGGACCACGTTTAAATGGGGAAGCAATACTCAACAAAAGAAGTTAATGACGATCGAATAAGCCATTTTAGTTGGAGTGGAAATGAGGTTCACGCGCAAGCCCAGTAAGTTATCAGTGACCATGAACAATCTCGAATAATCAGACCAGAAACAAACCATGCACGATATCGTAACAGCTCAACTTTGTGCAAAGTTTTGAGTGTTATTGCTCTTTGGCTGACCACAAAACTTTTAGTGCTGCTTCGCACGTTATTGTTCTTCATCTCTGGAACTGGTGGCACCCGCCACGTACGTGGGGAGTGGATTGCAGAATCAATTTCTGAAAATTTCGACATTTCCGAATTTTCGCATTCAATTTAGGCCGTGTTCATGGACAGAACCAAACCGGGAAATCAGAAGATCCGCCAAAAAAGTGGTCACGAATCGACTTCATCAATTCCTGACCTTGAAGGAGTCTACAGAACCGATTTTCGTCATATCTTTCCCGCTGATTCTCTTATTTTTCATTCCCTTATCCTCCCCAAACATTCAAAAAGTGGAACCAGATAATCCGTCGTAAACCCCTTCGCGTAGTTCTACGATTCCTCAGTTCTACAGATTGATACGTATACGTTCCTCCAAGCTGATTCCCTGGTTTTAGAATGGCGCTATATGTGAACACATTCATAAGCGGAATCGGATTTCATCGTGTTCTATCCTTCTAGATACAATGAATGATTGACTAACCATTATCGGAGTGATCGTCCTCCGTTCCCTTCTTACTTTTGTAGCTCTCCACCTAGAATGAAGGTGAATGAATGTACTCTGACTTATTTGCTCTTATAATTCCTTTTGACGAAATAATAACTGCACCCGTTTCAGTCTGATTAATGCAGTATAACACTGCAGTGCGCGCCCGAAAGTCATCACAAGAGTGCTGGGTTATGGGCAAAAGTTGGACCCGAGAGGATTGTAGCGGCCCCGGTGACGTGATGGATAGCACAGTCGACTGGTCAACGACAGATGCGGGTTTGAGTCACGCTTGGGGTCAGACTTTTGATCATAACTCAGCACTCCTGCAATAGCTGCAGTACCTGAGGCTAGTAAAAAAGGGACGAGCTGCAGAAACGAGCAACAGTAAGATCAAATCCCGTCAGACGCTCGCTCGTTGGACGGGCGAATGCGTTTTCTTAGTCGTTACTGATCGCAAAAGGATAAGGCGGTTATGCTTAAAAAGCCTTTCGGAAAAGAATCCCCCATTTGGGAACATATTTATTTTCATCTCAGTGGGGAAATTGTTCCCTGTTTACTTTGGCTATGGTTAATCCTTCCTGTTGCAAACGCTGGGCTGTAGAAACGCTTTATGCCAACGGTACAACCACATTCGCAGCTTTCCCTTTTTTACGATTACTGCTAAATAAGTACAACTTAGAAAGTGTGATATTTGTGTTTGCCGCATACAACAGGTCATTCAGGACACCCATTTTATGCTTCAGCTACAAAAGGAAAAAACAAAAGATACCTCCTCCTTTATCAAGTCGATATCATAATTAAAACATTCTTCGGTGTTAAGATCACCAAAAACCTTATCGGTTTAACACGTCGCAACCTCGCGTCATATAAGTGGTATGCTCCAAGCTGTTCTTTATTTTTCTGAAAAATTAGTATGTATTGTCAATCACAAAGGTAGGCCTTCAAAATAGTACTAATGCATTTTTAAGCGGAGATGGTGTTAGTGACAAGTGCGCGCTTACCCCGCGTCCTGGCGTTCAGATTCGGCGTAGCCTTGCGCCAGGCTCGACCAAGCCTTCGGGGACGGTGAATAGGTTAAACCCGTTCTGGGAGGATAATAACACTGCCCGTACATCGCTGGTCTGCGCAAAGGTCAAATTGATAGACCACATCGCATTCAATAAGCCACTACGATTCTGAATGGAAGTAGAATGCGTGCCGCATCCCACAAAGGGATTGATCAACGGCGAAGACTTTATCCTTCACTTATTAACGCATTTTTGGTGAAAGTGTAACGAGGCTCTGCCTAATCAAAACCAGATGACAATTGTTTGAAACAGAAAACTTCGTGGAATAATTCTTCGCCATGTTCAAATGAAGCATGTAGCCACGCCCTTTCGATTCATGGGGTATAGAGTGTATGTCTCTTGTATGTGGACTATATAAATTCGTTGGATGATTCCAATGCTTCTCGACAAGGTCAACAATCTCATCAGAGCTTTATTTGAAAACCTAAAACTACGCTACAAACCACAAAGTGGATAAACAAGAAAGAGAGCTACTTATGGCAGATCTGATGTACACAAAAGTGTAACTACCACAGTTATTACGTGAATGACAACCCTCGACAACGCAACGAAGTCGGATAGAGCCAACTCATGGACCAATTGCACAGCTAGGGGGTAGCTTTAGAAGCCTGACTGCAAATTTTCAAGAAAACTGTCAGACGGGCAGAGAAAAGAACCCTCTTGCGTAAATGTGAAGTGCAATAAAGTGAGCATGGGCATAAATGAAATAGAAAAGTAGAATAGTAAAGCAAGGTAGCGTTCCCTTAAGTACGGAGTCAATTAAACCAGCGTGCAGTCAAGTCTTCTATAGCACACCTATTTGCCACACACTAGGTCCATATCAGCAGAGCGACTAGCACAACTAAGCAATCACTAACAATAATGCTTTCAGCACCACTATATGATACAGGATTGCATTTAAGATGTCATATAATGAAAGGTACATATTATATCGGCATTAGGCACTGAAAATGGAGCTAGATATTTAATAGGCGAACATGGCCCTATGAAACTCCACAATCTCACCTCAAAAACGCATCGTTCAGTGCGAT